CAAAAGCACCATGGGCTTCCTCTCAACAAACTATAGAGTGAATGTCATTCTCCTCACTAGAGTCTCTCATGCATGGCTCTGAAGCCACAAGACAAAAGTTGGAATTCAGGGTCCGGTACATGGTGGAATTGCTATGTGACATCGGGAAACTTTCTCTCCTTCTAGAGATTTATTTATTTTTAATGTGTACAAGCATTTTTTTTCTACATGTGTGTCTGTGCGCCGTGTGTGCCTGTTGCCTGCAGAGACCAGAAGAGGGCATTGAATTCCTGGACTAGAATCACAGAAGGTTGTGAACTGCCATGAGGGTGATGGAAATCGAACCTGGATCCTCTGGAAGGGCAGCCAGTGTTCTCAACTGCTGAGCCATCTCTCCAGGCCCCTGTAAACATTTCTTAACCTCCCTGATCCTTAACCTCTTGCCATCTATACGGTGGGGAAATCGTGCTTGCCCTCAAAAAGAGTCTAAGGATTTGATAAGATGATGCAGTGTAGGGAAGCCTGACACAACACCTAGCACCTAGTAAGTGTTGTGTGCTGCCAGAGAAAGTAGTCCTGAGAAGCACTGAGGCTGCTCCTGCTCACGTGGGCTTGGGCAGGACTGATAATTCTGGCTCCGGACTCTAAGGAACTCACAAAGCCTAGTTTCTTCCTTGCATTTGCTGATGCTAGTTACTATAGATCTCTGAGCCTGATCATCTGTGCCGTGGGCATAGAGCACACAACATCAGCAGAGCCTGTAAAATGCAGTCCAGAGGCTCTGCAGGCCTCTCAAGGAAGACCCTTTCCTGAGGTCCTCAAAGTCAAGATTATTTATAAGAGGCTGAAATTTTGCTTGCCCTTTCGACCTTTTTTCTCTCACAGGAGTATAGCAGACTCCATTGACATGTTGTGACATCATTTTGTGGAGCCTGACGGAAGGCATGTCTGACAATTACTGTTTTGGGGTGTGTTTTTTGTTTGTTTGTTTGTTTGTTTTAATTTGTAGGAAAAATAAGCAGACCTGGGAAACATCATGTTAAGTGAAATGAGCCCGAGTTAGAAAGAAAAACGGTGCATGTTTTTCATACACAGAATATAGATTTTTTTTTTTTTTTAAGGACACGAAAGTAGAAGGTGGAGCTGGCACGATGGTTCAGTAAACTATACAAAAGCCATCACACATACACTCGAGTACACAAGCATTAAATATATAAATAATAAATAAGTAAATAAATGCAAGAGAGCGGAGAGAGCAGATGTAGACAGTTAGGGCCTAAGAAAGGAGTCAGCAGGTGATGGAAGTTGTGACAACATGATCAAAACATAGTGTGTGTGTGTGTGTGTGTGTGTGTGTGTATGTGTGTGTTTATAGATGTCATAGTGAAACCAGTTACTTGGTACAATCAATGTATGGCAACAAAATATCTTTAGAATTAATTGAAAATATGTTAGTCATCAGTACCTATGTATAACCCACCTCAATGAAAGTTGTGTGGTGTCCTCAATGGTTTTTGTAAAGGACTAGAGAAACCCTGAGACAAAACATTTAGAGCACAGGGTAATTATGAGAATTAAGTAGTGACCAGCGCACACATCCAAAGCACCAGGAAACACCACAGCAATCACGTTGGTTTCGCCACTCCTGAAGTCTACCCATCCATACAGAAACAAAATAGGGTTGTAGCACTTAATGCAAACGTCACCCTCCTTTTGTCCGTGGTGTGTATGTGTGTGTGTGTTTACAGGCAGAGTTACAAACAGTTGTGAACTGCCCAGTGTGGGTGCTAGGAACTAAATTCCATCCGTCCTCTGTGTATGTGCTCTTAACCACTAAGCCATCTCTAACCTCCTTCTGCTTTTTTTTTTTTTAAAGAGTCCAATGCCTGTTCCATTTTGAGCCGTGTAAAGACATTACAACACAGAACTCCTCGCCCCTCCTCCTGTGTCTGTGAGATTTGCGCTCTGAAGATACATATTCTGGCTTCTCTCACGCTGGCCTTTCCCGTGCTGTTTGCAACCTGTTACCCAGCCGGAAGCAGGTGCCAGTGGAAGCCTCACTTATAGAGAAGCTTCCTAATTGCTCAAGAGGAAGCGGAGCCTCAAAATAGGAATTGCTTCCTTAAGGTTTAGGCAATTTCCATGGAAACAGCCTGCAAAGCATACCTAATTTTAAAGGGCTGAGGGTGTTGGTAGAATTGACCTGGAAGAGCATAGGAGATAAGTGGTGTGAGAGTGTGGAGCCGGTGACAGTTTTATGGCTGCTTTGTTTATTTGTCCTCTCGCTATTCTGGTACACCCTTATTGAGGAAGCCCCAGTTAATTTTCTTATCGAGGTGGTAAATTCCATGATCAAAAGGAAACTGAAGGATTAAAGGGTCTATTTGGCTTATAGGTTATAGTCCATTATCAAGGGAAGGCAAGGCAGGAACTCAAGGCATGACTCTGGAAGCAGAAGCAGAGGCCATGAGGGAAGGAAGCTGCTCGCTGGTTTGCTCCCCTTGGCTTCCTCAGCTTACTTACAACCCAGGACCACGTGACCCGGAGTGGCACCTTACACAGCGGGCCGGGCCCTCCGCATCAATCAAGAAATTGCCCCACAGGCCAACGCGCTGTAGGTAGTTCTTCAGTTGAGGTTCCCTTTCCCAAGTGACCCTAGTTTGTGTCAAGTTGGCAAAAACCACCCAGCTCAGACAACATCCCCAAATTCTGGTGTTGGATGAAAGAGTTGGCAAGATTCTTAGATCATAGGTATCAGAGGAGTCAGAGAAAGACAGGACATGATCCGGATTACAGTCGCCAACAAAGCTCCGAACGGAATCCTGTTAAGAACCAGTCGGATTTTGTTTCCCTAGCGAGAGAGGAAGCTATAAAGCCAGTAGGCAGCCAGGATCCCGTTTTCTGGGCTTTTTATCCAGAGGGCAGGAGGGGGTGGGGGAGGGGAGGCAAGTCCCCCATCCCCAGTCAGCAATAACCCAACCAAAGCTGACAGCGCCAGTAAGAAATATTTGCATGTTCACGGATGTAATCGTAAATAGGAAAAAAAAAAAAAAAAAAACTAAGGAGGGTTACCGGAGAAATGGGGACCCGGGGGAGGGGGGGGGGAGAGCTTAAATTTGTTTTAATGAAGCCGTCGCTCCGCTCCGGACTGGGTCCTCGCCGGTGGCCACCCCGCAGCACGCTGCCACCTGTTGCTGCCCGCGGCCGCTAGAGTTCGTTCTCATTCCCCGGAGCAGAGCTGGCCGGGAAGCCCCGACGCGACGCGCCTACTAATCCGCCGGGTGGGAGGCAACTCCGCAGTCTCCACGCCCCCGCGCCCTCGGTGTTCGCGACTAACTCCTACTGCCCAATCTGGGTCCCGGAGCTCGGGCCCCTCACCCACGGGGGGCTCCAGCGCGCCCACACCCGACGCATCCCGAGGAACCCCGGAGCCTGCGGAGGGGGCGCAGGGTCCTCGAAGGCAGGAGCGCGCAGCGCAAGCAGGTTGCCAGGTCCCTCCGCGTCCCCTAGAGCGTTTAACCTTGCACGGTCGCCGGAGCACGCCCTCCGGGTCGCTAGTTCACGGTTCCCGAGGCTGCAGAGGGAGGGCAGATGCCAAACACACACACACACACACACACACACACACACACACACACACGCACACACGCACGATACCCGCGGCTGCTCGGACGCGTTTGGAGACACCCCCCCCCCACACACACACGCCACTCAGAACTGTCCCAGCTCGGAAAGCGACCCGTGTCCCTCCTGAGGGACTCCAGCATGGGTGCTGCGGGCGTGTGCACGTCTCTCCTCCCCCGCACCCCCCATCTGAGAATCCCTGCCAGCGAGGGCCAGACACGTTCAAATCCGCCCGCCCCCCGTGCCTGTCTGTTGATGGGGCTCGGTGGGGGGGGGGGGGGAGAAAGTTGGACGATCTTGAACCAGACTGGAGCCGGGGCGCGAGCGGAAATCCCCAACAAAAGTGATCTAACTACTTGGAGCGGTTACGTAAGGAGGGGCGCCTCCTTCCCCGCCCTACGCCCAAGCCCTCTCGCGACTATTCCGGGAGTCAAATGCATTTCGCACAAACAAACAAACAAACAAACAAACAAACGAAAAAAAAAACTTTTAAAGTATGTTATTATTTTCTCGAGCCGGAAGGGGAGAAAAAAAAAAAAACCGCAGGCAGAGCCCAGGGCGCGCGACGAACCCCCGCGCGTCCCGCCCCCGCGCCCCGCGGGAGGACCCGGAGCCCCCGGGGTGTCGCCGAGCCCCAGCGCCCCGCGGGTCCCACGGGTCCGCCACTCCACGTGGTGAGGATCAACAGTTTGCCGAGCTCATCAGTGACACCTTGAACTTTTCCTAAAGAAAGCGGGTACTGCAGCGGGAGGCTCGGCGGCGGCCGCGCGCAGGGTCGCGCTCGGCGTTTCGGGGACCTCTCGCCCGCGCCTCCCCCACCTCCCCCCGCGGAGATCCCGTCCAGCCCGGCCCCGGAGCAGACTTTCAAGTCCATTCACTGCCCCCCCCCAAAAAAAACAGCCCCCGTCCGGCCACTCCTCGGAGCTTTCAGGGACAGCCTCCCCCACCCCACCCCAACCCCGGCCCGCAGCTCCCTCCTAA